TTGGGCAACAGGTTGCCAGAGTTATTGAAAGTGATCCACACTTTGGGTCTGGTGCAGATACTATATCTTCACTGTTCCAAAAGTTGTTAAAGCAGCCATTGAGCTTGTTGACAGATAAACCAACATTGGTTCCATTTGTGATTGTTATTGATGCACTAGATGAATGTGGAAAGAAGGCAGATAGAATTGAACTGCTGAAATGCCTTCTTGATCTTACTACAGTTGGAAACTGGATCAAGGTGTTTATTACAAGTAGAAAAAACCAAGAAATACAAAGCCACCTCTGGGACAGTTCAAAATTATGTGAAATCAGTACAGAAGACTGCTATGGGGATGTGGAAACCTTTGTCAAGAACAAATACTCAGAGTTTAGTCTATCAGAGGTGGTAATCAGTGATTTAGTTAATGCTGCAAATGGGTTATTTATCTGGGCTATGACAGCCTTCAGGTTTCTGGAACAAAGCTTGGATTGTGAAAATGCTACACAACTTTTACTGAGGTCTCAAAGTAGTCAGTTACATACCTTATATACCACCATCATCAGAAATGAAATTGGAAGTGATTCTAGGAATATTGAAAGATACCAACAAATTATGACTGCAGTTTTACTTGCAGCAAAACCATTATCAGTGTTTGCTTTATCACAGCTGACAGGATGTTCAGAAGAAGTCACTGAAAAGATGATTCAGTGGCTACATTCTGTGATCACTCTTGATGCTCATAAAATAGTCAAAATTCTGCATCCATCATTTGCAGAATACCTGGTCAATGATGAAATTCATGTAGACAAAGCATATTATATTGATAGCAGCCATGGACATAGCACATTGGTCAGCAATTGTTTTCAAATTTTGAAAAGCAACTTAAAGTTCAATATGTACAACATACCATCTTCATATATGTTGAACACGGAGGTTTCTGGGTTACAAGAACAAAAAGACAATCCAAAGTTATCACACATTCATTATGCAGCCTTATTTTGGACTTTTCATCTGGAAAAGTCTGAGAGTATGTCTACAAAGCAGGGAAGAGCCTTGTGTGAGATATTTGGTGGGCCATGCACACTATACTGGATGGAGATATTAAGTTTGCACAATAGCTTTCATGAGGGACTGAAAGGTATACAACATGTTAATCAAATGAAAATAATAGCAATACAGGACCAAGTTGAAGAAGATAAGTTGGAGATACAAAAAGAAACACAAAGTCTTTTTAATGACTTATATTATTTTGTGAATCTAGCAAAGGAAGCAGGATCAGTGTCTATTCCTCATATATATTTATCATGTTTGCCAATAATTCCCAAGAATTCTATACTGCAAAAGCAAATACTTCCCTACTTCAAGAACATTGTACACATAAATGGAATGCCAGATGTGTGGGTTCCCTATAATATGGTGCTTGAAGGTCATAAAAATGAAATTACTTCTGTAGCATACTCACAAGATGGCAGGTATGTGGTCTCAGGATCTTCTGACAACACAGTCAGAATCTGGGATATAACTACTGGCCATCTGGTTGGTGAACCACTAAAGGGTCATAGTTCTGGTGTCACCTCTGTAGCATACTCTCCAGATGGTGGATATGTGGTTTCAGCATCTAGTGACAAGACAGTGAGAATCTGGGATGCAAACACTGGCCAACCAGTTGGTAAACCACTTAGGGGTCATAGTGGTTCAGTTTGGTCTGTAGCATATTCTCCAGATGGCAGACATGTGGTTTCAGGATCTTATGACAAAACAGTCAGGATCTGGAATGCAACTACTGGCCAACAAATTGGTAAACCACTCAAAGGGCATAGAGGTTCAGTTGTTTCTGTTGCATATTCTCCAGATGGCAGACATGTGGTCTCAGGATCTCATGACTACACAGCAAGAATTTGGGATGCAGCTAGTGGCCAACCAGTTGGTGAACCAATTCAGAGTCAAGTGAACTCTGTAGTGTATTCTCCAAATGGCAGATATGTAGTCTCAGGATCTGATGACAACACAGTGAAAATCTGGGATGCAAACACTGGCCAACTAGTTGGGAAACCAATGCAAGGTCATAGTGGTTCAGTCAGTTCTGCAGCATATTCTCCAGATGGCAGACATGTAGTTTCAGGATCATCTGACCACACAGTGAGAATCTGGGATGCAACCACTGGCTGTCCAGTTGGTGAGCCAATACAAGGGCATTGTGCTTCAGTCCACTCTGTTGCATATTCTCCAGATGGCAGACATGTGGTCTCAGGATCTTATGACAACACAGTGAGAATTTGGGATGCAGCTAGTGGCCAACCAGTTGGTGAACCAATTCAGAGTCAAGTCCACTCTGTTGCATATTCTCCAGATGGCAGACATGTGGTCTCAGGATCTTATGACAACACAGTGAGAATTCAAGATACAACAACCAGCCAACTAGTTGGTGAACCACTTAGGGGCCACAGTGGTTCAGTTATGTCTGTATCATATTCTCCAGATGGCAGACATGTGGTCTCAGGATCTTATGACAA